TTATTTTTCATCTGAGTCCAGGGAAGGAAAACCAGAGCTACTCTCGTATGTTTGGGGAAAGATCTTTTATTTCTCTCTGATTTTAAAGTGTCTGTTGAAGGATCTTTTGTGGGAGCTATAGCCAAAGATGTCTGGATGGTCTCCACTTGACCTAGATGAGGATAGATTACTTTTTCTTTTATCCAAGATGAATAAGATCCAAAATACTGTGTCTGTACCATAGTACAGGAATTTGTGGACATGCTTCTCATTCTTGGAAAATGCCAGATTCTTAAGTTGTACTTGCAGATGTTGGCAGTTAACTATTCATCAGGAAAAACATGTTAGAACTGTTATGAGGGAGCAAAACCCAAATCTTAACTGTTAAAACTGAGAATGGTATTTGCGGCTTGTATTTTTTTACATTGTCTGAACTAATGTTCTGTGGTTCAGCTGCTATCCCAGTTGACTACAGTGTTTTGCCCCTGGTTTCCTCCAGAGAGTTGGCAGAACCTGCAACAAAGCTGGGCTGTTATGCCAACCTTAGGTGGGTGGAGGGAAGAGATTTCTTTTCCATCTCAACTAAATGAGGCATTAAGCTGCGCTGCCTTGCTGTTCGTCATTGATTTCTGCTTTGTTTTGAGAAATACTGTTCATTTTGGGAGGAGTATTCTCTCACACCTCCTTTCTGAAACCTCCCGTTATGGTCCATCTTTACTCATTTACACATTTCAGGATCCACGCTGATAGAAGCCAGTGGAAAAGAAATACTTTGGGGTTGGACTGAGCCTGTAAAATAACAACACTTGTTAAATTCCTTCCAGGAACTTAGCAGAAATTTCGAAACTGGAGAATGCTTTCCAAAACAAGGCTATATAGATGGCTATTTTTTTTTTTTGTTTTCTTTTAAAAATATACTGTTTTCAAGGAGCGCATTAGGAAGAACCAGAGAGCCTTTTGGTGTTCTGTGAAGTGGCAGTCTCTTAGGTTAAGTGCGTGGGAAAGCTCTGTATGAATTTATATAATTACTTTTAACTAGTGAAGGAAAGAGGTTTTTGTCTTGAAATGGCAGCAGCTGGCTTCCTGTGCTGGTTGTTTTCTTTTCCAGTCTGTTTCCTTCATGATGAACTTTCACAATTGCTGTTGCCAGTTCTGGTGGATACAGCTTTTAATTTCTTTATCTTTGGCTTGATATGGGATTCTACGCTGAACAATGCAGCGGGCACAGGGCTGGGTTTGCTGTGCAATACCTGGATCACGTTTTAGAATCTCTTTGGGAAGTGACGTGCCAGTTCATGATCTGGTCTTCCATCTAAGCCTGTTTATCCATAAAGCAACTATGGCATCAGTGAGGGACTGAGACTTCCTAAATGCTGTCCTGTTATGTTTTGTTTTCTGTATAAGTCAGTTGTTAGGACCCATTTTCAATAGCTGCTCCAGGTCTGCATCACTTTCTTTAAACTGTAAACATGAGCTTCATCTCACTTGGATTAAATTTCAGGCCATGCTTATAGCAGCTCTGGTTTGCTGCAATGCTCTGCTGTAGAGCCAAAGTACACTATAGGAGGTGAGAGAGAAGAAAGTAAGAAGCTCATCACTAGCTCCCCTGCTCCCAGCCAGCAGGTTAGCCCTGAGAAATCTGAATGTCGGGGCTAGCTACCCCTGCCCAGGCTCTGCAGACAGAAACTGGGAGCTGGAGAGAGAGAGCCAGAGCAGGAGCATGACACTAACTTTACAAATAAAGCAGCCAATACTGCTCTTTTATTGTTTTGATGTTGTTTGGTATCACGTGTATAATCTCAGCACTAAACTGCATTGGGTTATCAACCATGTTGCTGTCCTCTCTGAGTCAGCTCTTCGGGTGATGGACTCTTTATCTCCAAGAGTTTTAAAATGAGACCCCCTGGTATTAAATGTGCTGTAAGTAATGCTGGTAACTGCTTCCTCTCCCAAAATATGATAAACAGACTGTTGAAGCTCAGTGTCACTACTGCAGAACCTGTTGTTTTGCCTCTCTTCTGCTGGGCAGTTGGAATAAAGTCCTTTGCAGGGCTGGGAGTGGAATGTGTGCTCCTCTCTGTGCCTAGTTTAGCAGCTGCAGTCCTGCCGCCTGTTTTTCTGTGTTTGACATGTTACTTCAGTTCAAGTTCTAGTCAGATTTTAAATGGAAACAAATGTAAATTTCAGACACTTGTATAATTCTCCTTTTACTGTTTGTTTTTTATAATTGCTTAAATGTATTATAAGCATAAATGGAATTACTAGCTAGAACATAAAACATGGGGAAGGACTGATAGAGACTTGAAGGAATAGTCATGACAGGTTCACCTTGTTTGGAAAAACAGCTTAGTTTACTACTTCTGCACATGGATTACCCCTGAGGGTGAATTGGGAGATAGGGATTTCTTGCCATGTGTAATTGAATAAGTGCAGTGAATCTTGCCAAGAGGGTGGTGGCTGCGTTTTCCCATGTAGGCTGAGATTAGAGGTATTAGACAGGTGGCTGGTGTTTTTGTAGAACAGCTTTTATAAGTAAAGTCTAATCAAAGAATCATAGAGTAGCAGGGTTGGAAGGGACCTCAAGGATCATCTGGTCCAACTTTTTTAGGCAAAGCATGACCCTAGACTAGACGTCCCAGGACCTGTCCAATTGAATCTTAAATGTGCCCACTGTTGTGGAATCCATCTCTTCCCTGGGGAGGTTATTCCAATATATCCGTCCCCTCCATGGTGATTGATAGCAACATAGAATAGTTTTCAGAGTAACCTTCTCTGTAGACTGCATGCATGACTTGTGAGATTGTGGCCATAGAGAACACGCTGGTAATTTTGAAAGCTTTATATGGTGAACTTTGGTTCCTGTTGAGTTAAAAGTCCAGGAGGAGCTGCAGGATGTGCTACCCTCTGGTTAGGAGGAGGAAGGATTAGATTTGGCACAGCCAACTGCTGGTCCATGATCTCCATCACACATTGCTAGCAACCTTGAAGAGAGGTGTCTGTGTAGGAAAAAATCAGTATCCCTCTGTGTATTTCTGTAGTTGAAGTACCAAAGGAAGTGCCTGACAGGCTGCAAAGACAGTGTGTCACTCTGGTATCAACAGTCAAGGAAACTGCAGCTTCTTCTGAAACAGGATGGTGTTTTCTGTTAATGTTATATGATGCTGGTCAAGGGGAATGTGGATGTGAGCTGGGGAAGGCTGTGTACTGGTGTGTTTTAGTAGAGACCCCTTTTGAGTACATTGCATTTTGAAAACCGTTCCTTGACCTTACGGTTTGCTGTCTTTATAACAGCTCATATGACATTGCCAAAGTAGCTGCAAAAAGTCTGCCTGTTAACCTCGTAGTCTGGAAAGCTGGCTGTATGAAGTGGCTGTCTGAAGATCTGCCTTCCAAGACCCTTGGCGAGGCCAAGTTTTCTGTACTTAAGATTACTGTTGCTGCAAGAACGGCAGATGTTTGCACAGCAGACAAACAACGCTGATGATAAAGCAAATTGACCTTTTATGGAACAAGCTATTTGGAGCACATTCCTAGGGCAATTCTTTTTTTACTTTCTTATTTTTCTTTCCTGTCTTTCTCTTTCTTCATCAAACTGCTTGGCTATATGTTGACATCTCTGTTGCTAGAGGTGATAACAAAAATTAGAGATGAGTTTACAACACTACAAACCTCATCCAAACCTTTTTTTGTCAGCTGTATTTTACTGAAGTACTTCTAATGGTGTTTATTTTTCCAGTGTCCCTATGGGAACCCTGGAAAATTTCAAAATGTAATAATTAAAGAATGACAGGCCTTTCCTTACAATATAAAGCGAGGGAGAGTTTTGTGGTTTAAACAGCTATGCTGGTGCTTGTTAACAAGATATTTTGCCTTGTAATCTAGCCAGGCTTATAATGGTCAAAAAATGTTGAAGTTGAGAACTGCAAGTTTGTTTTCAATCAGTTGTTTTTCAAGTTAAAAGGCTTTAATGGCTTGCTCTAATTTGTCCAGTAGTATTAATGTTTGTATTAAATCACGTGGTACAGTACAGCTGAGGCTGTCCTAGTAAGGCTGTACATTGTGTTGTTGCTTACTTTCTCCGATTGCAAAACTTTTTTTTAAGGTATAAAACATAAATTGAAAGTTTGAGGAATCTCTGAACTTGAATAATATACTTCTGTTGAAATTACATTTTAAAAGTAACATTATTTAATTGTATAATTAAATCTTTTAAATAAAACTATTACAAATTTAAAGTAAAAATACCACTGCAGGGAAAGCCTCAGCACTGTATGGCTGCATCTTTACTCTTAGTAGCTAAACACTGTTTTTTTAACTGTGAGCTGATGGTCCTGTAATTATAGCAAATGTAACTCCTGGTAGAGAATTGATTCCTGGCATCTGGGGGATGTTAGAAAAATTGAATAAGTTCGAACTTTGGAACCTCTGAGACCTTTTAAAAGGTTTTCATCCAGTGCACCACTAACATTACCGGAGCTGTGCTAAGTGTCCCCTGTCCTGAAGAAGTCATCTCCAGAAATACTGCATGCTGGATCATCTAGGCCAATATTGCCCTTCCAGTTGTCACTTGTCAGCATTTTAGTTTTTCATGGAATACAATATTGTTTTGCACTTTGGCAGATAAAATAATACTGTCCAGACTGAACTCTTCATTATGGCACGCTTTGCTTTTGCAACTGTAGTTAACAACCTAAAAGACTGTAAAGAAATTTACAGCTTGACTCTTTGTCCCCTCTGCCCCCCAGCCTTTAAATTTAAAAGAAGCAAAAGAAGGCTTACTGCGTAAGCCTTTTCTCACAGTACTTTTGGCTTAGTTCTTACTTCTCATTATTTCTAGCTTTAAAATTCATTATATTACATTATGGAATATAGGTGAATAAGCAAAATGGTCTGTTGTTTTCAGGGCTTTTATTACATCTATTTTAAATTGCTGTTACCTTGTTTGGTGTTTCATTTCTGGTGTGCTGGGGTTGTTTTTGTTTTGTTCTTTTTGAATGATTGATATTTTTCCTTTGTTTCAGCCAAACCTTTTACATCTAAAGTGAAACAGATGCGACTCCATAAGGAAGATTTTGAAATCCTAAAGGTGATTGGTCGAGGAGCCTTTGGGGAGGTATGTACATGAGGGAGGTGGAAGGAAGGGTTGGAACAATCTTCTTGCACATCTGCAGCACCGAGGAGAGACAGTTAATAGAAATAGACTGATGCACAGGTTTTTACATTATTTAGCCATAATGGATATTGTAGGCCCACTTCATGTTTGATACGAGTACATTTTCATTTATACATTCTTTGACAGCTCTTTTTAAGTCTTATGTTTTGAGAGAAGGCAAGTTCCCATGAATTCAACTGCCTGATGATAAATCATTTGCTTGTCTGCAATTCTTTCCAGTCAGCAGGCCAGGGAGTTACTGATGGTATAAAGATTTAGCCATTTTTAATCATCCTAATAGCAAAATGGTCTAAAAGTAATTTTCAGCAACTTGAACCGCCAAATTTTGATATTGATGTTCTAAGAACACTGAGAAACCTCTTCACTCCTGTCACTTTGTTTTCTGTTTTTGATGAATCTTTGAATGTTTTTCCTGTAGTTTTCCTGTTAGTTTCTTTTTCAGTTTTCATCTACTGCTATCTAACTATACATTTTTTTTGCCGCTTCTGATTAAGCAGTCTCTTATTTGAAGTCATCAAAGAAGGCTTTTCATCACCAGGCTTTATACTAGGCATGCCACATTAGAGAGGTTGAGGAAACTGGAATAAATAAACATTAGCTTTCTGCCCCTTCTTAATTGTGTTAGGTGCATGCGCTTTGTTTTTCATGCAGGACGCTATGTATGTAGAAAGAGCAGCCTAATGTGTAACAGTGCCTTAATTTTTGCTAGCCAAATATACTACAGATGGGGATAGTGGATAAAGCTTCTGCAGAAGGTTCTCTGTACTGCCTGAAAAATATGTGTGGACTGAAATCCAAAATACATTTTCTGAGTGGTATCTTAATTGCTTTTGCAACTGAAAATAGTTTGTTGGTTTTTTGGGTTTTCTGTTTATTTTTTCCCAGTTCTCTTTTGTATGACAGCTTTTCTGGAGGCTCTGTGGCATGTGACAGTTGGTTTTATGTTCACTTAAATGTTTCCATCATGTGTAAAAATTAGTCTTTATTAGTCTGTGGTTACGGAAGAACAGACTTCCATAGGTAGTATGTTAAGGAGTAGGAATTTTTACCGTAGTTTATGTCATATGCAGATATCGTCCTTGGGCAATTAACATTAAAAAAGCAGTATTTATTTAGCCACCTTAGCACTTTTGTTTGGTTTTGCTTCATCTGCAGTAACGCTCCTTTTTAAAGGAGGCTGAAGGCTGAAGTTACACATGTCTTTAGTCTAAACCACAAAGAATGTCACATTCTCCATTTTGATGTAAACATTTCTGCTTAAAACGTGAACTTTTCTCTGTGCTGCCATAACTGTTGCAGCCGAGTCCACGCACAGATTGTATAAGGTGTCGGAAGTTGCTGATGTGAGTGCTTTCTTGTGAGAAGAATCATGTGTGAAACCTGCCATATATTGTGTTTTAAAGAGAAGTCATTTTTGTCTGCTAAATCAGCATCAAACTCCACAGGAGCTAAACCACAAAAACCCTTTAGTTCTTTCTCAGGAAGCTTTGTGGTGAATCATCCCATGAACATTGAGAGGATAACTTTTGCCATTCTCTTCTGGGGGCAGTCTGTGCAATTGGTTAGTTATCCTCTGTTAGGAACGGTGTCTCTTTCAAATTCCTTATCTGAGAATGATAGCATGACTCAGCTGTCAAAATCTTCAGTAAGGGGAAAATTGAAGTTCTCAGTTGAAGATGTTTGGGTTTGTGTGTTATTAAAGTAGGACTGACAAATATTTGCAAGGATATATGTTAAATTTTCTTACCCCATAGAATGGTTTGGGTTGGAAAGGACCTTAAGATCATCCAGTTCCAGTCCCCCTGCCATGGGCAGGCACACCTCACACTAGACCATGTCATCCAAAGGCTCTGTACGGCCTGACCTTGAACACAGACAGGTATGGAGCATGTGCCACTTCTTTGGGCAGCCTGTTCCAGTGTCTCACCACCCTCACAGTAAAGAACTTATTTATATGCAGTCTGAACTTCCCCTGTTCTAGTTTGAATCCATTGCCCCTTGTCCTAATGCTCTGGTCCCTGATGAAGAGTCCTTCTCCAGCATCCCTGGCAACTTTCAAGCCCTACACAGACATTTGTCTAAGAATAAGAATTCCTATTAAATTACTAATGTTCCCTTAAAATAACCCATAAATATCCAAGTAATGTTATAAAGAAGGCCACCAAATTTTCCTGGTACTTAAGCCACCAAAAGCTATATTAATATAAAATTGCAAAACGTGTATGATACAGTAAACTGCAGTTGGTTTACTGAGACAGATTAAGAAATCTGGAAGAATGCATTTTCTTTCCAGCAAACTATAAATGAGACCGAGGTTGCTTTAGGTTACTGGGAGGAGTAATTTTTGTCTCCTGAATCAACATAATTCTGAAGTTGTGTAGACTACAAAGTTGCTGCAGGTTTTCTTTGGCACAGCCTCAGACTTGTTCTTATTTTGATTTTACACTACTCAATTTCTTCAATTTGCATAGTCAAGAAATCTTTCCCTTTTTGTTTTTACAAGTTTGATGTAGACACAGAGTAGTTGAAACTAGTTATTGCTTAAACTGTAAGAGTTCATTGTTCCTAGTTTTCCTTTTCCCCTTAACCCTACTTGCTGCTGGTCTGAGAATGATTCCTTTTTGTCAAATTAATGACATGCCTCTTCCCACTGCATGCATACATTTAACTTATTTCAGATTTTCTGTAAGAGTCTTCAGAAAACACATATGTTTTGCTTGGAGGATTATCCTGGTAAAATTAATAACATGAGCATTAAGTGTTTCATTGTGCTGGCTTCATGAAGCATGGTTTGAAAAACATAACTAAACAAGGTGACTTGAAACTTGGGAGTTGAAGAAAGCTGTGAGGAAAGGTGAAGCCACTGGGCAACAGCAAAACTCTCAGCAGTATGAAGTGCAGCCTGTTAAAGGTTCTAGCTAACACCAGAGTTTACAGTTCATTCTGTTACTGCTTAAAAACCCCCAAAGTTCAGTGTTTGCTTGCGCAACCAAATATTGTGTCATTATGTTGTTGATATTTTGAAGATGATGAATTCTGTATGTCTGAGAACTAGTTAGTTACTGCTGAGTTTTGGCATCCAGTTATGAAGAGTAAAGTTCCCTCCTCCTGTACCTGGAGGATTGCCTGCTCTTGATGAACGAGGAAACCAGTGCTGATGTGGGGTGGTTGTGGGGTTTTTTTGTGTTTTTTTCATTTCAATTTGAGTAGGTTCTGATTTAGCTTTTTTCCTGATGACGGCTGTTGTTGCTTTTTAAGCAAAAGAAATGTGCAGACATGTACCGTAGAGACAAGTAGCTGAGTTAGGGGGAGAAGGAGTTTGACCGCATGCCAGGCTGTACTGCTGTTTGTGGGAAACACAGAAAACTCTTGGAAGGATGGGAAAAAAAACCTCTATCTGCCTAGACCAAGATGTTTACATCAGCACATACCAATCATTTTTTGTTGGGCTGCTCACAGGAAAATATAAATTTATAAAACCCCAACCTTTAAAAGTCAGATTTTAAGAGATTCCAGTGGCAAGACATTTCAGGAGAGCTAGACAGGAATGATGACCCTTTCTTCTTGACAACTTCACTGCAGAAGGGAGACGATCAAAACAGCGCTCTGTGTGTATTTGGACCTTTGTGTGCATAGTATACCCTTCACCGTGTGTATGTAAACACTGCCTGGGGCTATAATGATGTTTTACATGTTATTCGTTACAATTAGAAACTGCATCAGGCTGCTCCTTGCTGAAGTGTCAGGTTTTTCCTTCCCAGGCCTGAAATAAGCATTTTAGAATTCACTTCCATTAAATCACTGAGACACCCCCCCAGAAAGATGCTCGGGGCTGGAAAATGATGATGTTCATGATCTTTTTTTTGTGTGTGTGTGTGTTGGTTATTGATATGGAATAACATTAATGGCTTTCACAGACTAAAAGAGTGCTTCTGACTGATTGTAAACACAGCTGGTAAACATGGATCTATGTTTGTTCTTTAGTCACTCTTCAGTAGTATTACACATTCACAGAACTATCAAGCCCTTGATCTTGTCATTGAAGAACACTCCAGCTGTTAACCAGAGGCAGTGCTGTAGCTCTTTTGGTTGTGTCCAAGTGAATGTTGTGTAATTAACGGGTGCCTTTCAGTAACTAAGCCTTTTGCACAATAACACAGCCTTTCACTGAGCGTGCTACAGGCAAGAAATGAAATCCTGAAGCTGGACTTGAAATACATGTATTATCTTGTGCCTCTGGCTGCCCATACAACAGCAGTTAATGGTGGGGAAAAACTCATTTTTCATGCTGGGCAGCAGCAGCAGTAGAGTCAGCTCTGGGACCAACCAGTTAATCTTTCCTTACAACAGTGCCAAAACCTGTAAAGGTATAAGGGCAGAATCACGTTGTAGCTTCGTGTCAGAGGCTGCCTCATGTAGGCGAGGTTGCTGTCATCTAAGATATGATACAGTTTGAACACTGACTAGTTTGATGTTAAGGATTTTTCCTCCTGCCATTTCTCATTAAAAATTGATACAGATAAGGCTTGCCACAGTTTCAGGCTAGTTTTAGCTAGTAAAGTAATGGGAGACTCAAGATTCAAATCAGCCTTGTGGGTTATATATCACTGCAGAAGATTCATCTTTCCTGCCTGAAGAAGACTCTGTTGCTCAGTCTTGGGGTACCATGCACAGGAGAATGTGTAATTCTTTATGAATTAAAATGAGATTATAGTCTAAAGTAACAATGTTTTTATGATTTGAATCTGCAAGTACCTTAAGGGGACCCAAGTCTGGACTCGAGCCTTAGTTTTTATGTGTGAAGTAATGTTTGAATATTTCAGTTCATAAGCAAGTCTAAACAAGTCAATGTGGTACCTTTCTGCTTTCGCTCCTTTTTTTATCTCCCGCCACTTCCACCCCCCTGCAACCTCAGACAGCAGCAGTGTCAAGAGCAGGGCTGATAATGCACTGCTGCACATACTGGAAGTGACAGCTGCTTCGTCTCTGAATCTGTAGCTTAAGCAGGAGCCATGCTTTTAGCTATGCTTTAGTTTAGACATCTGATTGTTGCAGTCCTTCAGCCTGCACTTTTGCCATGTTCGTGAAGCTGTTACAGCTGATGACACATTTGAAGATGGTTGTAAGAGGTTTGCATGACACTTCCTTCGAACTGTCTGATGCTGTATTTTCTGTTATCACTGTCTTCACACATAGCTGGTTTACTGATGATGAAAGGCATATAGGATTCAGCCTTAGTATTGCTTTGTCACTGGCCTGCAGGATGAAGATGGTGATAATTTGTGTGATGTGTTGGTTTGTAACTAGATGCACACAGAAATAAACTTCTATCTGCTTAATACTGAAGATGTATTTGAAAAGGGAGAGGCAGAATGAGATAGTTGGAGAATGGTTGTTAAAATGTGTTCATTGTTAAACTTTTAAGTGTTTGGGATGGTACTCTAGTGGTCAGATTTAATCTGGATCAGCAGCTCTGAGTCTGTGGCATATTCATGGCCATTTTGGGAAAGACGCTGAGCTTTCTGTACCCAGGGAAGCCTGAACTGTGGAAACGTTCAGTGTAAATTTCCCTCCCTTTTTCCTAAAACTATTCCATGGTATTCCAAACTATTATTATAGCTAAACAAAAGTGCAGTATTCTCGGAAAAGGACTGTGTCAACTTTCTTAATATTCCATAGGCCTATGGCATCTAGTGTTTCAGAAGCAATGAGAGGGAGGGGGCTTGTGTTTCTGTTTACTTCTCTAGAAAATGTGGATTTCACTGTTTCCCTGCCACTGACATAGACATGATGAAAGAGCTCATTGAACTTCAGGTTTCATAAAAATGGAAAAAATGTGTTGTTGTGTTTTAACTTATTTATCTTTCATTTCTCTTTTCCAGGTTGCAGTAGTAAAACTGAAGAATGCAGATAAGGTTTTTGCCATGAAGATACTTAATAAGTGGGAGATGCTGAAGAGAGCTGAAGTAAGATGACAGTAATGTTTTCTATAATCATGCCTCCTCTTATTCTGCTGAATTATTACTTCTCTTTCCACCAGACTCCGAATATAGAGGGATTGAGGAGGTGCTTCACTGCTTTCTGACAATATGAAGATTAAAATAAGCTTAAAGCAGTTCATCAGAATCTTGACTGATGTGGGACTGTATGGTATAGATGCCAGACCTTTTCTTTAGTTGCCCCAGAATTACTGACTGTATGAGCAACCTTTTAATGCATTTATTCCAGTTAGGAATGTCTTTAGCAAGTATTTTCCACTGTGAAAAGGTAATTACCGAGCTATAAAAAGGTAATTACTGAGCTATAACTCAACAAACCTATTAATTTATCATTAGTTAGAACTTTGTCAAGGTCCAGTTTGTAGACTGAAAAATCAGAAAGATAAAAGTTTCAAATTAATTTGAGTGTATGTTTCCTAAAAATGTCCATTTGCAGAAATCAGTGATGAAAAGTTCCCCATTCAAGCTTGAGCTCATTCTGTGTATTGAAAAAGGTGGAAAGCTCTTTCACTAGTCCTATTTTGCCTTGGGATCCTACTTCTGTTAAACGACTCTTCATAAAATCTTGGATACCTTTCTCTGGATTCCTTTGGAAAGGAACTTTAGAAATGCAGTCTACACCTGAAGACTTGCATATGAATTTTAAACAGAACATGTATCGAACTCTTTTAAATCAGTTTGAAATTCTTCATCTAGGCATACTAAAAATAAACTACCTAAAAAATAGGCTCATAAAAATATAGCTCAGTGCCTTATACGTACAAAGTTGCTTCGGCCATTTGGTTTTCTTTAGTTTGGACAGTACAAACACTATCTTGGTGTCTCTTCCAACTTGTCTGATTGAATTATCTCTAACCTCAGTTTTTATTTAAGACTCTTTTGTTGCTACTCTGACTGCCTTGCTCTTCAGTTGCTTCCAGTTTTATTCTGATTTCCGCATTTATGTTTTAATTAAAACTTGTTAGGAAATGAGATCAATGGGAAACCATCACACATCAAAAAAAGAAAATATGGATCCAGACAAATTAAAGCCAATTTCTGATGTGTGCACATCCTGTCTCTTTTAATGAAAATGTTATCACAGTAAGAATTATAAATGGCATGCAGACTGTGGTTACATGTACACAATGTGCTTCCTCTTTATCCAGAAGTTACTCAGATACTGAGCAATCTGGCATTAGGCTCGATACAAAGAGGTATTTTTCTCCAAGACAGATGCCATTCCTGACAGTTTGATTATATCAGAGAAAAAGAAAAGACTAGAAATCAAGTTCCACTTTATTTTTAAATGTACCCTTTTAAAGTCAGTTAAAAAACTATTTCTTTCCATTAAAATAGTTATAAATAGGTTTGAAAGGTTTTTCTCTATGCAAGGTATTAAAAATACTCTTCCCGTGGGTCCAGCTGAGTTTCTGAAAGCCTGAACTGTTAGCTGAAAAAGAATTACAGCTATGTTTTTCCATGTATTTGTAACCCATGGGTGTACAGTGGAAAGAAAACCACCTGGAGGGGAAATGCATTGCAAAGCATGACCTTCAACAATTGTAACCTGTGGTTTTTAAGCATTGCTGAACGCATCTCACTTGTTACTGCTGCTGAGGAAAATGACCCATTTTGGCTCTGTTAGCAATGTACTGCACCAACACTGAAATACACAGGAAAATCAGACAGACCAGAAATGCCAGGCAAGCATATAGGTAGACCTGTACATAAGTGTCAGAAATAGTAGTTCATATATCCCTGTATCAACTCTAGGAAGCAGGAGTCATTTGTAAAAGCAGAAAGGGAGTTTGTACTCAAAGAGCACTGCGGGTGCTAGATTAAGGTTGATGACTGCAAGCTCTGAGTAATTAGATGCAAAAACTTTGTTAAACTAAAATGATAAAGGATGCAAAGTCAGTGTTCTCTTTATATTATAAAGAGCATAAGTTTTCCACATACTTGCCACTGTTGAAAACTCAGAGATGTAGGAACATTACTGATATAAGGAGTACCTGAAAGTGTGTGACAGCTTCTGTTACACTCCCAAACTGTTACCCTGAGTGTTGACAATCACTTGGAGCTACATATGTGCCATGGTGGTGCCAGATGAGGCTCAGGAGAGACCAAGACAAGTAATTATGCAGCATGGAAGCAGTCAGCACTCCCGGAAGGTGCTACCTCTGAGCTGTAGTGACATAAGCACCAAACAGCTAAGCGGCCCAAATTCTTTGGTGGTTGAGGGCCATGATAACAGTATAGATACCACCACAGCACTGAGTGGATCAGATGTCCTCTGCCAACAGTCAAGAGGAGTGTGCTTAGGGAAGGTGAAGTGTAATGCTGAAATAATGAAAGGCACAGAAAAAAGGCTTCATTTAAACAAAACAAACCTGAACTGAGCTGTTACAGTTATGATAAGAACCACTGCTATTGTTTTGTTTGTTTTTTTTTAATTTCTGTTCCCCATGAATTACTGTAAAGCCCCATAATCACTTAGACTTCTTGGCTTTTACTGCCTCGGCTGTCATCTGCTGTGGTAATAGCTGTTGATGTCAGTTCTAGGCATACTGCCTGGAGGTGGATGTCTCGAGTGCTCAAGGAATGCATTGTCTTTTGTTAAATCATGGCAAACCCAAGTGAAATTCTATAAACTCTCTAGTAACTAATCCTGTGAATAGTGTCATAACAAATAGAGAAACTACGTGTCATTCATCCTTATGAAAACAAGAATTCATAGCGTCTGTCTCTGAAATATGTCAAGAGTTTACAAACAGGGAAGGAAAAAAAATTGGGCTGAAGCATAGAGGAGCTTTTCTTCCTTCTGAAGATGATCCTTTCTCCTTCTCCCACCCACAAGTCCATTTGTGATTTAATAATCTTTTGAGATTGTTAAAAGTATGTTTTATTATTTTCTCAAATTCCACTCATTCAATTCATGATTCATCTTGTGTGTTACGCTATGATTATAATATATCATCTCTCTTTTTCCTGGTCTACATTATTCTTACTCACTGTATTCACCAAAACAAGGCTCCATATGGTTTATTTGCTTGGAGGAGGGAGTTTTCTGCTCTGATTTTACTGCATGTATTGCTGCTGAGCTCAGTCTAAACTGGTATTTTGTGTCTCATTCTTCACTCTCCAAATCTCAGAGCCAGCACAAACCATGTCAGAGTTCTGGTATTTGCCTATTGTTTTTGGAAATGAAATTGAAAAAGTGAAAAATAAAAAGCTTGTATTTCATTTAAATTTAGCTGTCTCCTAAGATGGAAGAGACAGAGCATGGTGGAAATAGATGAAACATCTTTGTGAAGTAGCAGAGTGTGCTGGAAGAGATTATGTTCTATGTTTTTCTCTAACTCTCCATCTGCCTTCTAATAGAGCCCAGACAATTATTATTCTTTTTTTTCACACTATCTTCTAGACCTTTCTCTGAACAAAATTTCATGTTGGCTTTGCCATTTGATACCTGTTATTTAATTTTGTTTTATTTCAATATTTGCTTCAGAACATTTATCATATTTTTTTGCTTTAATTTCTTTTTGGCTTCTCATTGTTTGGTCGGTTTCTTCTCTCATTCTGCAAAGCTGCTTTTGCTGAGGTTTTTTTATTCACTTCTTGGGGCAGGTTGCTAGATGTCTATGGAATTAACTGCCTTGCTGCTTTCCAGTTGGTTATTTTCTTTGCATCTTTTTTTGTTTTCATACAAACCTGTGTTCTCTTCCTTCACTTAGGCATTCCTTAGCATTTCTCGGCAGTCTTGCGCCTCCGCTGTTCCACTTGCTATGAAGGCACTTTTTGCTTCTTGTGTTTCTTTGCAGCGTATCGAGAGGAGGTCGTCCTAGGTGTCTTATCAACAGCTTCTGCCTGGGAAGAGCAGTATTCAATTCTGTCCTGCTTTTCTGGAGCAAGAAGTGTGGAGAAAACCCCACCTCCTAAATGATCATCCAATAAAACCCCTTGATGATCCAATTAAAAACGTGTTCTACATGGGAGTTACTGGCAGTTTCTTTCAAAAGTGAAATGCTTCTTTCTCATGTGAAAAGTCAAGTGTAAAGCTATGCTAACAGCATGATGAGATCAAACAATGATATAAGACTCCAGATTTCTTTAGCTCCTGTTGCAAGTACAATTACTTAATGCTATTTTTGTTTTCTTCAATCTTATATTGCTATTCTGTCATTATTGATACTTGATATCAATATCTATGTGTACAAATAAGATTTTGACTTGGTATTTTTAGGCCACAGGAATCAACAGCATATTTCGCCCTTCACATGACTTAACAATATAGAGAAGTACAACCCTTTATATTTGAAGAAGGTGGACTTTCCTGACACCTAGTTTTTCATAGATCTTGGCATGTTTGAAGAGTGTAGTAAATGACTTTTAACTGAGAGTCAGATTTGACCCTCCCCACCCCCCCAAATATAATGTTAAAACATAGTAAACTTGCAAAATATGTTTATTTTACTTAAAGCCTGTCTTTGTTTTTCTCCCCTTCAGACAGCCTGCTTTCGAGAAGAGAGAGATGTGTTAGTGAATGGGGATAACCAGTGGATCACAACATTACATTATGCATTCCAGGATGAAAACTATTTAGTGAGTGTTGCTTTTATTTCTCCGTGGATGGAAGTACAGATTCTTACTTGTTGTTTGAGAGAGAAATATAGTTTATTTATTAATTATGTGTTTTGCACCATACAGACCAGGTGAGGATCTGTGATTTTGTGCATAAGATTCTGAAGGGTGGAGAATGGTCATAAACGTTTAAAGTCCTGCTACAAATACCTCAGAAATGCAGGTTTTGCATTTGTGGATAAACCTTGGCCTATCTGCATCTTACTTCATAAAATTCCTCACTCCAGTTTAATTTGGATTCATAAAAATGAAAGTGCATTTAACTAAGATAAGTTTTTTTATTTGACTTTAACTTTTGTGTTTAACATTGCACGTCACTATTTTACAAGTAGAAATAGGGAGTATACCTGTTTTAAAGCAACAGTCCGTTTTGATTGGTCTTCGCTGCCTTTGAGGACATAAACCTGGTTAAGGTGTCATAAAGCAACAAAAGCAACTTGCTGCATGGAATAGTTCCACTAAATGTTCATAAATAAGAGCTGGAAGATGTAAATGCAGATTAAAGAGTCTCTTAAATATGTTACTTAGTTTTGAAGTATTTTAAGAGACTTGCAAAAATAAGCTAATATGAGGAAAAAGTGCCAGTTTTCCGTGAAATCTTTCCAACTTCACACATGTTTTGATTGTGATACAGTTTTGGTAGTGTTTATGCCTGGAAAAATAAACAACCACACATAGATTCTGCTTATTTGGGTTTTATTCCCCAGTGCTTTCAATTTCTGTATCATTAGTAAGTTCTAATGTTTTCTTAAAAGTCTGCTGTGAAGTCATAATCTTTTTTCCCCAGTGTGTCCAATAAAATAAGTGCTCTACATGGAATTCTTGCAGCATGGCAGTGCTTCTATTGCCATTGTATTACTTCTGTCAGCTCAGACACTTGGAGATCCATGGATTTTGGTGGAGTTTATATAGAAACAGGGCTCTGCATCTGTGACTACCTGTTGGCTTAAATACCTCTCAGCCAGCTTCATGCTTTGTTAATGTGGACAGAAAAAATAACCTTATATCTTATGTAACTCTGATCTTACTAGTAACACTATTTCAAAGAAAATATTATATGTTCTGCAGCAGTCTGCTAGAATTTGTTATAATCTTGCCAGTTTCCTTGTTTTCACTCAGCACAGAGCAGCTTCTGTTCTTTATCTTTGATGGTCTATACCCAGGAGCTAATTTTGCAGCCTGCTGGGAAATATATCAGTAATGCTGTTTTTCCCTCATCTTAGTGTGACTGTATCACTAGTTCTGTGTGTGTTTTCTGTTAAAATTAGGCATTACAGAAGCGGCCTTTAAAAGAAAATCTGAGTACTTTGAACAGTAGGTGTGGTTAAGCGGTGGATGTTGTTTACCTTGACTTCATTATTGCCTCTGACACATACCCTAACACCCTCATAGACAAGCTGATACAGTATGTGTTAGGTAAGGATCTGTGAGGTGGATTGAAAAGTGGCTGAACTGCTGGACCCAGGGAGTTGTGATCAATGACACAACATCCAGCTGGAGAAAGTCAGTGGTGGTGTAGCCCCAATACTGGGGCTGACATCTTCGTTAATGACCTGGGCAGTGGGTTGGAGTGCACCCTCAGCAGCTTTGCACATGATAAAAACCAGGGAGAAGTGGCTGTGCCATCGTGCAGATGGACCTTGACAGACTGGAGAACTGGGCAGAGAGAAATGCAATGTTCTGCATCTGGGGTGGAATAAAATAACCCCCACAGTACACTGTGGGGACCAGCCTGGCTGGAAAGCACCTTTGCATGAGGTCCTGGTAGATAACAAAATGACCGTAAGCCAGCAATGCACCCTTGGAGCAAGAAACGGCCAAGATCATTCTGGACTGAAAGGAAAAGTGTTGGCATCAGGTGCTTCCTCTCTGCTCAGCCCTGGTGCAGCTCCATCTGAACTAACGTCCAGTTCTGGGCTCTGCAGTGCAAAAGAGAGATGAGCTACTAGAGCAAGTCCAGTGCAAGCCCAGAAAGATGATTAAGGTACTGAAGCATCTTTTGTGTAAGGATAAGGCTTAGAGAGCTGTGATTCTTCAGCCCAGAGAAGTGTTCTGGGGAGCTTGTCAGCAATGTGTATAAATGCCTAATGGAAGGGAGTGAAGACCAAGGGAGCCGGATTCCTCTCAGTAGTGCCCAGGGACAGGACAGGAGACAACAGGCACAAACTTTGAAAAGCATGGAGTTTTGTCTGAACACAAGAAAACATTTTTTACCATGAGGGTGGTCAAACACCAGAACGTTACCTGGAGGAGTTGTAGAGTCTTCTTCCTTAGAGATACTCAAATGGACTCAGTCTTCTTAGAATCATAGGGTCATAGAATAGTTAAGGTCCTGGTGTGTGGTGGGCAGGGACACCTCACACTAAACCATGTCGCCTGAGGCTCTGTCCAGCCCAGCCTTGAACCCCGCCAGGGATGGAGCATTCACAACTTCCTTGGGTAACCCATTCCAGTGCCTCACCACCCTAACAGGAAAGAACTTCTTCCTTATATCCAATCTAAACTTCCCCTGTTTAAGTTTTAACCCGTTACCCCTTGTCCTATCACTACAGTCCCTAATGAAGAGTCCCTCCCAAACCACCTTCAGATGTTGGAAGGCTCTTATGAGGTCTCCACACAGCCTCCTCTTCTCCAGGCTGAACAGCCCCAACTTTCTCAGCCTGTCTTCCTACAGGAGGTGCTCCAGTCCCCTGATCATCCTCGTGGCCTCCTCTGGACTTGTTCCAACAGTTCCATGTCCTTTTTATGTTGAGGACACCAGAACTGCACACAATACTCCAGGTGAGGTCTCACAAGAGCAGAGTAGAGGGGCAGGATCACCTCCTTCAGCCTGCTGCTCACACTCCTTTTGATGCAGACTAAGTTGGCTTTCTGGGCTGCATGCACACGCTGCCAGCTCATCAGCCTGTTCTAGCTCACCCTACTTGAGCAGATGAGGTTGGAGTAGATGATCTCGAGAGGCATTTTCCAGCTTAAGCAAGCCTTTGATTTACAATTAAACGCCCATGTTAAACTACTAACTAGTAGTTACTAGAATGTAGAGGCCTTAGATCTTTTTCTTTCTCTTGGAAGGATGGTGCTGTTGTGCAGTAATATTTTGAGAAGTATTTAAGACTTAAATAGGTCTGGATGATTGTTTTCATTTAGAAAGTATTTAGAAAGTATTTCTAAAGCTTTAAAATAAACCCAACCACCAAACCCAGCCTGTTTTTCTTTAAATGGCATGGATGTTTGGATGGGTTGCTATGCATCGACTGAATTGTGTAATAACAATATGGTTGTTAAACTTTGCTTTGACTCATATGCATGTATTTAACGTCAAGTGCATGGCTCAGTATTGTGAGTTACAGTTTAAGTGTTGACATATTTGAGGAGTTGAAGGTTTCCTTGTCATTAGGCTACTGTGTTTCCCTTGTAAAATGGAAGGAGCAGTCTTGTGGTGTTAGAGCAAAATTCCATTAGTTTGATATATCCAGTATCAGAGTTGTACTGGTTTTAAAAATGCTGAAGAATGAGTGCAGAGATCCCACATCAGTAATGAGGGTCTGGAGGTTTTTCCAATATACTTACGAAGCAATAAGCTAAGCTCCTGCAGATTTATATATGGTGTATCAGTTAATAATCATTATATTGAGTGCCAGAGGCTTTATGTGTTTTCTAAAGCTCTAAAACATGAGAAGTTAATAGTGTAGCTCCTGTTCCAGAGGGAGTATAGAAGCACCGCTGAGTAGAAGATACTTGTCTCATATAAGACTTGTGAGCATAATTTCAGAAGTTTACTATTCATGTCACAAAGCAAGAGATGAAAATTTGATTATCAGCACATTTAAATGTTGTGGAACTTCATTTTGTGCTTTCTTCATGCACTTGGAATTAGTGAGGATGCCCAGGTTTTTCTCTAGCAAATTGTTGAATTCTTTGTTCATCACCTCTATCATTATGGAAAGTATAAGGGAAAAGAAGCAGAGGTGAGATTTTTGCCTGACCCACATCTTCCTTACGGCTGGTAGAATCTTGCAGAATTTTTTCCATCTAATTTTAATTTCTTTTCCTGAAGATGGGAAAGACTTAAGTAAATGAGGAGAAGTAACTGCAAAAAGTCCCTTTAAGTTACTTTACCAAAACTGTAAAGAACCGAATTGGGATATGCATTTATTACATCTTTGATATTTCACTTGTCATTCGTTGTGCGCTACTGCTAAGAGTCACTGCTTCAGATGTGGGTATATTGCTGCGTTCCTGGAAGCAGAGCTTTGAGCTCTACGCAAAAGTTTTCAGGTCCTATATATTGTAGTAGGAAGTTATTCTAATTAGTCTGTCCACAGTGATGTTTGAAAGTAATGTCTGAGCAGTGGGTGTTAAATGAGATTGCTTATAATTAATGTTAGTTATAATTAGTTCAGTTATTTTTTCCTTACCCCATTTGCCCTTCCAGTTGCTGTTCCACAATTAAAACAACCAAAACTAAGCTCAAAAGAGTTTCACGCTTTTCTTTCCCTGATCATTTTGACCATGTCTCTAGAGGAAGTGGCATTTCTTTTTGTCATAATACGGGAAAACGGAGAAGAGTTCTGATCTCTTTAAAGCCTTTGCACCTGATTCAGTGGCAAGCAAGGTTTATGTTTCATTAATGAATCAGAAATAAAACATATTTTTCTCCATCATTTCAGTTAGAGAAGGTGACACCTTCCATTGTATGTTGGCAGTGTCAACAGTATCTGGAATTGGACTGTGAGCCCCTGGAAGGTTCTTAATCTTTGCCTTCATCTAGTAGTATAAAAAATTTACACTTCAAAATCATCAGTTTAATGGGAAAAGAAGATGGTAGGAAAATAGGGAATGGGAAGTCTGGAACATTAGGGCCCTTAAATGAGATCCCAGGTTAACACAATTGGTTTTATTTTTATAGGTCTGTGCTTTAATCTTTTACACCTTTTGCAACTCTGTCAGAGTGTATTGCTTTTGGAAGGGAATTCAGAGTATCTAAATATTCTTTGATGGTGGGACAGTGGGTGAAGCTGATACAGTTTTGTCACAAGGCTTACTGTATTTGGAGAGGTATAAATGTGAAACATACTCAAGAAGGTTAAATACTGAATTGAGGCTGAGCCAGCTACTGTTTTCAGAACAGCTGAGCATCTCTGTTAGCTTTCTTTAATGACCATAATAATTTTTACAATAAATTAGTTTTTATGCTTAGAGTGAAAAAGTAAAAACTGTTTTATGTCCCCTCCTCCCCTTCCTCTTTGTTTTCTTATAATTGTCACTCCATAGTACCTGGTTATGGATTACTATGTTGGAGGAGACCTGCTTACGTTGCTCAGCAAGTTTGAGGACAGACTACCTGAAGACATGGCTCGTTTTTATTTGGCTGAAATGGTGATAGCTATTGATTCCGTTCATCAGTTGCATTACGTTCATAGGTAAGTAATTTGAGCCCCAAATTGCTTTTGGAGTTATGGGGTATTACTTGATGGAGTGAATGGTAAAGAGTTTAAGCTAGTGACAAGTATTTGCTGTAATAATAAGCGCAATAGAACTGACCTGCCTACATCTCGTGATTATTGAGAACTGTTGCTAACCTTGTACCAGGTGGTCAAAGACATGAATGAGTATCCAGATACATCTGATGAATCTTGCACATGGGTGTGCTTCAAAGTTAATGATCCATAATTTATAAAAGTTAAACTGGAAACCTGTCTGTGAAACATGATCAACATTGAACAGGTTTATTGAAAGGTCACATTCTGTGTCTTAATTTGTTCAGTCTATATGGAAGTTGAAAACAGACCCATGGGTGGTCTGCTTTGGATTATTTTCACCATTTTCTTTTGGATTTGATGAAGTCATCTTTAAAAAGAAGTGAGGGTGTTTTGCTAAGTAAATGGAAGTACTTAAATTGTGGTACTTTATACCTTAGTATCTAAAAAATACATAATATATTCTGTTCAAAGGAAAATACTAAGTCAATTGTGTCTGGCTTTTTTGGAGGCCATGATTGTGGTTTTTTTTCCACAAACCTAGTATCCCCTTTTCTTCATTGTATTATTCTCTGCTGAATTCCCTGGTAGTCTTGTGTGCAGAGGAAAAGATTACCTTACAAGAGGCAGAATTTTCAAGTGCACTCAATAGATGCACTTTGCTCTGACAGAAATCAGGAGGAGAGCTCCCAGCTGTTTAAGCTGAATCCTGATGTTGGTATCAGGAACTTGTTTGATATGTCCATTTATTGCCCTTCATTATTAGTGTCTATACTTGCCATTCCTTCTTTTGCTGTGCCCGCTTGGCTGCTTCCTTCCCAAAAAGGGTGTTGGATTTTTTTGGTCCAAAAGGTGTGCTGTGATTTGTTTTGGTTTGTTACTGGGTTGTGTTTTGTTTCCTTTGAGATTGTGGTTTTTCATGAAAGAGCTGTTGCTACAAGTGCTTTAAGTGGGGTGGTGCTAAGATGCAAATAGCTCTTCTGGAATATTTCAAAGTGTTTTTGAAGAACTGTGTCTACCTGCCCCCAAAGAGCTCTTTGTGATAACACCTTGTGGAAAAACCCTAACAGAGTGTTGCTTGAATTGCGAAGATTTCAACTATGTAGTTTCTGAGAAACTCCTTGTTTGCTTAGGACCTGATGTGAAAGGCTTTTGTATTCAGTTCAGTTGGGATCTAACTTTCAAAATGGACTTGTGTTGAGGTGGTATCTCCTGTTACCAGGTGGAGAGCACTTCAGGTACTACATAAACTGCTGTATTTTAGCCAAGGAGTCTGCATATAGGGTAGTAACTCTTCCTAGAAGAACAGATGCCTACCTATTCCTCCAAACAGATCAAAACCTGTGTAATCCAGCACTGCTAGCCTGTGATACACAACAGATATGTCTTCATCCTCAAATAGTTAGTGTCCCCAAGAGGAAATAGGTGTTGGTGGAAAATTCTGGGTGAAAATGAAGTAACATTGCAGTTCAAAATATTGTACTAATTATTATGCTTCTGTGTTCCTATGAATGTTAAAAAGCCCTTATGCATTCCCAGGTCCTTTGTTGAAGGATTTTTGGTTTTACCAGTGAGGTTCCCATGTTGATAAAGCTCTAAATGCCACTTTGGCATTTTATCATCAGCAGTGCTCTAATACAGTGCCTGTTTATAAGGGGGTGTTTTGCAAAGATTAAAACTGAAAAGAGTGTATGTTAAATGGTCAACCTTTGACATAAGACCTGTTCCGCTGTTAGTTTTATTAGGATGCTTGCAACTGGTTCAGCAGAAGAATGAAAAACATTGTCTAAATGCCCCTAATGCACTTTTCCAGTGTGTTTAACTATGGTGGCCACATCCTTTCTGTGAGTGTGTTGTACACAGTGGAGAACACAGGAGGAGGAAAATATTACTAAGAGGTGGATAATGTAACAGCTGTAGTAGTGATATTTCAGATGAGTATCCAGTACGTGTCAGTATTTGGGCAGAGTTCTAGATAGTGAACTAAAAACATTTTAGCAGATTTTTTTGATTTGGTTTCTTTTTAGGATAAACTTTAGGATAAAATTTCACATTAACCATACAAAGTGTTGTACTTTGTCGATAATTTGCTTTTTCTCAGAATGGTTTTGTACCTTCAAAAATTGGTATTTCTATTCTGAGAGCGTCATTCCTCTTGCTCTCTTCTGTCACTGACCACTTTTTTTGTTGTCAGTTAGTTTTGATTGGGGGTGATACTGATTGCAGTTGTAGTTCATGTTCAGACCACTGCCATGTCAAATGCAAGTCACTGTAGGAAAGTATAAGCACATTGGCCAAGGCTGTGAAACATCAAATACAAGCAACTTCAGCATGTGTTAAACAAAATTGCTATGACTGTGTTTCAGGTTTAGGAGTTACAAATTTGAATGCCATTTCTGCACTAGCATTGTGGGGTTACAGGATGAATTTATAGTGGGAAGTAGAATTGTACAGAGAAGTTAATGATGTTTTTGAAGCTGTATGCTGAACCTCCTGAATTGAAGCAGGAAAAAAGTTGCTAGCTGAAAATAACATCAGGACTGCTGGGTTTAGGATTAATTTTTCCCCTGGTTTTAATCCACTTTTATAGTTGAAATAAATGCAATGCAATATTTTGAGATAACATCAATCAGAACATTAAACTTTAGCTGTTCTGTTCTTATCAAATAATCTCTGTGACGATGGTGTGGTGTTTTATCTGACAGTTAAATTATGGCTCAGAATGTTTATAAAATGGCATTTTCTTTAACGTGTCCTTTAGTTTTTGCTGTTGTTATAAATGCACCAGCACTGGCATTACCAAATGATATTGGCACCTCCAAGACTGGCTTTAGAAAGAGAACTTCATCTGTGTTAAGCAGATGTGCAGCAGTTTACAATAAGGAAGAAAATACAGCTGTACATCTCACAAATGCATTACTTCCTTGGGAGTCCTATAAAGCTTTCACTTACTCTTCCAGCTTAAATCTGTACTAATGAAGTGCTCTTTGCTTGTAGGCCAAGGTTAAATATTGTCTTGTGCCAGTTTTTTGCAAACTGTAGTATCATACAGGGTAAGGCTTTACATCTATTAGGAATTAACATCAATCTGTGTTTTGGTTTTATAGATTTGTAGCAACTTGGTTTTGTTTTGGATTTGTTTTTTTCTCCTGACAAAAGCCTATACATGCATTAACACTAATTTCAGTTTCAAGGTTGTATTGGTACTTAATTCCTTATGACATATGTTGAAAGCTTATGTTTGCATGCATTATCAAATATCCTGGTGTGGACTGGAGGAGAGCTCTTATAGGCTTAAGCTGGGTACCTGCACTTTATTCTGTGTGTTGCAGTGCCTCAAACAGGTAAAATTTGGTTTGCCTACATGGAGATTAACTCTTTAATTATTTTACTGGTGAGCCAGGTTTTTTTCTCCATTTTATGTGAGGTGGAAATTGAGGTTTGAAATGCTTGGTTTTGTCTAAATCCTTGTAAGTAAAAAAAGATCTCAGCAGGTCTGGTTGCCATTGGAAGAAATGTCCCCTGAGACTGCAGAAGAAACACCTGCCCTCCACTTGTACTGGGCATGGGCACAGTGAGTGTGCCAGGGGTGGCTTTGCACATTGTGTCTATGCTGCTGCCTTTTGTGCTAGCTTCTGAGGCTGCCTGTGCATTAGGAAGGCTGCAGCTAAGTCTGTCTCTGCCCTACATTTAATTTGGGACATTCCATTTTTTTGAATAGTGCAGAATTATAAGTGTTAATGTGCTTAAGTCATTTTCATCTTGACTTTCTTTCCTCTCTCTGTTCTGAGCAGGGCTGCACAGTGCTTCAGTGCAGAGTGAATTTGCAGTGTTCAACATTTAGGCTCATGATCCTCCAGACCACTGCAAAAATATTCATTTAAAATAGGCTTCATATATTGGCACACACCCACGTTAAACATAAAATGTAAAATTCTATTGAATGGTAAAACAATCCTCACTTACCTTCTTACTAAGAAAATATTTTGGAAGGATTATGAAACACCTATGTTAATTATTATTTTTGTTGGTTAAGTTTATGGGAGGATACTTAAGGCTACAGGGCAAGCTCTCAAGTTACCTACATTTCAGATGTTGTCTTTTGCATGTGAAAAGATAGGCATGCAAAGCAGAAACACACCTACCGACATAAGGTATGCAAGGTGACTGTTGGCTTGAACACTGTGCCTCTGGGTTTCTAGTTGCCCAGTGTTTCAGTCTGAAGGGTGTTAGCATTTTGCACCACCAGATGTATTTTTTTCTTTCACTTTCCTCTTTTCACTTCCTTCATCGACTTCTGAAATTGAAGTTGGGATTCACTGGAACATTTGAGCTCTTAAAATGTAGAGCAGCAGAATTCTCTGTGGAAGTGACATCCTTTTCTGAGAAATACTGAACATAAGGGAATAAATCTGTTAGAGGGATAAAAGACCTGTCTATTCCCTATCAAGCCAACCTCTTTGCTTGTAACAAGAAGGTACCATTTGTCCTCAGTAAAAATCATCTTAGGGACAGCCCTCAAATATTTACTGCAGTTAGCAGGCAGCTGAAATCCGGGATTCTTTGTAGGATCTGTTTCACTTTCAACTATAAGTTTCAGTGCCAGCATATCCATTTTTGACTTGCTGAATAAGTGGTTTTCTGTCTTCTGGGTGTATCCCATCTTTCCTGATCATTAATTTGCTTAAGTGGAAAATTTGGGGGTGGAAGGCCCATCTAGGGAGTTAGCTCCGTTGCGCGGTATGTCTGAGTTGAGTTGGCACAAGGATGAGCCAAGTGCTCTGGCCTTTGGTAAAGTGAACTGTAATTGTGGGTTTGAAAGAAAGCAACAATGCACTTTAAATGTTTACCAAACCTTGCAACAGACATAATGTCGAACACACACATGAGGATGTCCTCACAAAGTGCTGAGAGTGAAGAAACGGGGCTAGAAAAATAACATC